TATATAGGTTCTGTTTATGCAATAGGGCCAGTGTCGTAGGCAAACCCAGTCTCGTCTCGACAAGTCCTAGACACATTTATTGACTTGTAGAACATGTTATGCGCAGTCGAACATACCATGTTATCTTAATTTGACTCATTAGACTTGGAGCGCAAATATCTACTTTACATAATTTTATCGAAGAAAATTGTGCGCGTGGGCATACTTGTCGACGTGATCCGTTTTAATGTCGTCCTTCCATTGAAATATGCTAAACAATGGTACCGTTCCATCATGAACTCATTCTTCTTAGCTAATGCCATAAAATACCCTTTTACAGTTATGTTCAGCGCTTAAAATAGTTAAAAGCTATTGTTTTTGTCATTAAAAACCGTTTACGATCCCACAAGTGTAAATAACCGCTTCCCGCGTTGTCAACCGCGCGCCACATGTTTGCCGGTACCTATTGGAAAAAATACTCAAAAGCGACCCGATCTGCTATAACAACACTTGTAAATCACGCTGAAAAGTTTTACGAATTAGGAACAATTAAAACATCGAAGCAAACAACAGTTGTTTCGAATGTCCTCAGCAACTGCGGGACCATTGTGAGTTACGAGCGGTTTACAACCTTATAGATCTTAGTCCGAAATTCTTTACGACTAATATAACTTGCGCAATCCTTTTGTCGCCCGATGGGGAGAGGGGGGCAACTTGGACAAGTTTCTTTTGTTTGCGACACGTGTTGCAGAACGGGTTGTGCCCGACACTTGTAAGGAGGGAATCTTGGGAACGGTTACGAGTCGATTTCCTTGAAAGCGTTCATTGTCTTTTTTGCTTTTGAACTTGAATTTTTGGGATTCGGTTTATATTGTAATTTTCTTTGGTTGTTTTTCAACGAAAAATGTTGAATTTTTAATGCCCTGCGCCTTTCCGAACACAAATTCGTTTAACCTGTTTTTGAATCGGCCGCCCCGGGCCGCACTCGTATGCAATCAAGATTGGATTGAGATCACACAGTTATAGCTTTATTATTGTCGTTTGTACGTTCATTTCGTGCCTTCAATGTTGATTATTTTGCTTTAAAGCTCAAATTTCATTCCTCACTTGTATGGTTACCGGGCTTTAATTGGCAGTTTCGGGTAACGGTGCTTAAATATGCTGCGAAATGAGAAAAATCTGATGGTTCCGTTTTTTATTTATCTCGTGAGTACGAGCTCATAACCTTTGAAGTCCGCTAGTGCCACCCCGCGTTCCGGAACACGTAATGCGTCTGCGCAGATGATATTTTTCAGATTTGTGCATAACGGAAACGTGCCGTCATTATATACCTATTAAGGCTGGTGTGTGACACTATACTCATTTTTTGCTAGGCCACAAACTCCGCCTCTTGCCTTAATGAAGCCATTTGTGTCATGTTTATTGCTTTTACGGCGTACTCCGGATTTTGAGGAGAATTTACAAGGCGAAAATTGACACTGAAATTATGGCAGCCCTAATTAGTTGGCACACGTGCGGTGCTGCTGATGTTTTCGTGTTTTTTATTTCAAGGGGGAATGTAAAACAACATAGATTTCCGCCGATTATGTCTTGTTTATTTACTTAAGTGACGTATTTATGGTCGTAAATAACAGCTTTTTGTAGGCTTTGTCAAGTGTTTGTTCATGAAATTATTTTTGTATGAATTATTGCAATTATTATCAAAGTACACAACTAAGTAAAGTACATAAATGTGCTGGATTGTTGGTATTAAAACCCCATACCAATTACAAAATATATTTTAAATTGGAACTCCTTCGTATCACCACATTGCCAGATAACGTCTGCAAATAATCTTCAACGTTTATATCAAGTCGTGACTTCCAAATTGACCTTCATTCGATGCATTGACGTGGGTGCTGTGTTGGAGAGAAAGTTCGGAATTAATATGCAAGCCTGATCTGTTTCGAGTAATGAGTCTTAATACTCTTAATGCATTTGCTTATCAGAGCTCTGGCGAATACGTCATGATGAAGATTTTTTGGGCTAATCAATACAGTGAATTCTGATATGGGATTTATTCTTATTTGAATCGTGTTCTGAACTTTTAAATAAATAAGATGTATTAGTTCCTAATTCCTTTTTGGCTGTAACCACTTTGATAAAGATTTTAATATGATGTTTACCTCTTCTACTCTCCCTATTCTACCCTCTAAACACCATGTTCTCTTAAAACAAGCTGCATAGCACAAATAAATAAAGATAAAGGAAATAAAGCTTAACAGCAGTATCGTTCTAAGCAATCATGTTGTGGTTAGGTAGCCACAGCAAAAGATGTTGAGATTACCTGCTTAGCAAATACTACACAGAATCTCTACTTACATCTTTTATTCTACAGATCGCTAGCCCATTGTGTTCAAGGAATTTTGCATTTAACTCGCCTCACCTTAGAACTTTACATAGGAAGCTTTATCCCTTTCACAAACAGCACACTGTGCTTAATAGATTATAACCAGCAATAAATTCTACACTTATTTTCATTCATTTGTTAGTAATTTTACTTCCATAATTCTTATCAAATGGTAATTTTTTTCTAATTAAAATCACAAACCCCTGTATTCCCATTCAATTGATTACAATCGTAGGAAATAAACATCAATTCACAGTTAATCCTGCAAATAACTCGTACATAAGGAATGGCCTCACATTTCACTTGGTACCCCCAGAAGGCTTTTACGGGTTAGGTAATTAGCGTCACTCAATTAACCACTATACAGCAGGCCGCAAGAATTTTTGTTAATTATTAAAAAGGTTGCACTTAACTTGGTGGGGGGAATTGAAGAAAAGAAAGGCATTACACAGAGAAATGCTACATTTCCAATAGTTAAAGTGCAGTACAAGTGCATTGTGTTTGCTGTAGTATATTGTTCTAGAACCAAAAGCTTAGTCGTGAATTCATCAGACACAAGAATCGATTGCAATGTTTTTATTGTAACGCTAAACTATTTGCCTAAGCAAAGTAGCACTTGCTATCTTGCTATATTTGGTTGAAATTTGGTAATCCAAATCATTTCAAAATGATGCTACCTACGAAGTACCTTTTATATCTGTCATCGCTCAATGCTTTTAATCGGACCAAGTTCCTTTTTTTTACCCAGACTAGGGCTGTTCTGTAACTTCATAATATACCATAGGATTATACCTGAATTGGGTGTTAATACTCCATCAGTGATTTAAACAAATTAATAAACACGATCAAAACCAATGGTTCTCCTTCTGGCTTATATCAACAATAGGCGTGTTTTCCTCGCTTTCTCACGAATCCGATTAAACCATACTCCATACAACTTAAAAGGATAGATAAGGCTGTATGAAAAGAGCCGCGTGGCCCTTACGCAGGCTCGGATCTCACTACTTGAGATAATTAAGCCATTAAATTGGTTCGCGCACCCTTTTATACTGTGAGAAGTATGGGCAGAGATCTTGGTTTTATTTTGGATGTACTCAGAATCGAAGGCAATGTGCTTGTTCAAGTGCTTTATCGGTCATGTTGCTTGGTTATGACATGTATTTTGTCTTATTGATGTATAGGTCTTTGCTTTGGATTCGATTGTTTGTCGGTGGAAGATGTTATAAGCTAGTTAGATTACATAATACTAAAATATGCCCAAATTCTTCGTCTGAGATTTATGAATAAAATGGCGAGAGCCCATTTTTCATTTCCAAAAAATCTTACTCAACTTCACCTTGGAGATTTTGAAGTAAAAGGTCAAAATTAATGTAAATTTTTTACCCACTTTCGACATAAAACCTTGCGAAGACCTTTAATAAAATTGTATCGACATCATTTTATCGATCGGTATCGTCACCGATCACGGTAAACGATATTTTGTTGAGAAATGATAACATCAACTAGGTCTGCAGTAAATATTTAAAGGTAATCTCAAATTAAATTCAGCAACATTCTGATTGGTCTTAATCTGATATATAATATACCTACTGAGAAAGTTGGACAGCGAAAAAGAAAAATAAGGCGATCGCAGCGTGCGTTCGGCCCTATACATAATGTTGAAGAGCACGCAACGAACGGCATGCAATGAAAGCCTTCGAATAACCGCCACGACAGGGCTGGCATTTTAATATTAATGTATATTTGTAATAAATCGAGATGTTATTAATATTTCTAGTTTCTGCTTACGTTAAACTCGGATTATGTGGAATGGCAATATTTCAAACTGAAACTGAGTATGAAAAATATTACGAATTTCATTGGAAATTTACTACCACAATAAATCTATTTAAATTGTTTACTTTACTATAATCGAAATTATCTGATGTAAACTTATTCAAGATCTATTTGAAGAGAATCTTTTAAGCAAATTAAATTGAATGCACTATTGAAACGTCGTCAACTAGTCAAAGTTTATCCTCTAAAGTTAGTTGAGCAGCCCTGAAATCAGTCGAATTTTCGCAAGTCACGGCTATTGGCCTTTTATTCAGTTATCCTGTCGCGAATCGACTTTTCGGTACGCAGTTGTAAGACATTCCGTTTCGCCGCGATTGAAGCTCGATATTGATTTACATTGCCGTATTCACAATTTATAAACCCAACTGAATTAAACCTAGAACACGGAAAATCCTCTCAATATGTTATCGAATATCCTGTTTATATTTATGTGTACATCTGCATTTATATTGCTTCTGAAACTCAACAATTTTGCATCTTCGCCCACACGTGTTTATGTTTCTTAATCAAGTTTGCAACCAGTCTTAATTCCCGGTCGGTGGCTCTCAAAGGCTGCCCCTGCGCATATATCAATATCGACGTTTAAACGAAATGAAGCTGTCGTCACCGCCAATTGTAACGTCATTTGAACTAAGCTACGTGAGACAACCAATCCCATTCAACATTCAAACGCTTTACTGAAAGCAGATCCGCCGGTTCAATGCACAAACTTTTTTTGAAACTACGATTACTTTTAAGGCTTCTTGATTTCAATTATTGTTGATCATTAATCCAACTTCTTTCTTTTTTGTTACAGGAGCAAATGGTCTCAGAAGACGAGGAAGACAAACGTACACTAGATATCAAACACTAGAGTTAGAGAAAGAGTTCCACACGAATCACTACCTCACACGGAGGAGACGCATAGAAATGGCGCACGCTCTCTGTTTGACGGAGAGACAAATCAAAATATGGTTCCAGAATCGAAGGATGAAGTTAAAGAAAGAGATTCAAGCTATAAAGGAGTTGAATGAACAAGAAAAACAGGCGCAAGCACAGAAAGCAGCGGCGGCAGCGGCAGCGGCCGCGGCTGCCGCGCAAGGCCATCCCGAACACTAAGCATGCGTGCACGCATAGCCTTGTCCAGTGATACTATCGCAGTCCGCCGAACACTCCATAGCTTTGTGTTTTTTTTTTTTTTTTGTAAATTGTTTGTAATTATTTTCTCGTTATTTAAGTGTTGTTCGGTTGTTGTGATTATTTTTTAAATTAATTTTTAACTAGACACAATGTTTTTCTAAACGAAGGATGGAACAATAAACTGTTGAATGCTAGACTAGAAACGGGTCGTATTATTTTTGAGTTTCGGGTTTTGTTTTTGTTGATTTATTGATTTTTATATACATTTATATTTTAATTCGCGTAATCGTCGAAGATGTTCGCGTTTGGAAACCAGTGCAATTTGTAGAAATCTCTTCCGTGTAACATAGTGTAGGTGTATCGTAGTGCGTTTTACTTTATGTGCGATCGTAGCGCTCCCTGCTCGGCAGCGTCGGCGACACGAACTATATAACATTGTACAAATTTAATATGCCTACCAAAGAGACCCGGTCTCGTACCCTTAAAGCTAAGTAAATAAAGAGTCGTAAGTTAAATTAATTATCCGCTATCGTAATATGGACAGTGTGAACAGAATAACTTTCCGCGCCATCTAATCCTTCAATACTCTCGCATAAGTATAGTGTAAACGTGATCGTGTTCCTGCAGTTTTAATAGTCGGTGAAGTTAAACAAATTGCCATAAATATAAGTAGTTATTATTTAGCCAGTAGTGGTGTAAATAGTTAGGGTAACGTCTGTAATGATGGAAGTGAGCGGTTCGCGATGCGCCGGCGCCGTGGAATGGGCAGAAAAAGCTTTGGGGCGAGTGCGGTGCAAGGGTGCGGGGTGAGCGGGCGAGCGGGGCAGCTGCGGGGCAAGCGCGGGGAGCGCGCGCCGCCGGCCACCGAACAGGACTAGGTGAGTTTTTGTCAAAGTCACCGCCATTATTTATCGAGTGGAGACGGTCGCGAAAAACTTACTCGCCGTCACCAGTCGACGCGCGATGCCATTTTTGAAGTCGCCCAAGCGCGACTTCTACGGTATAGCTGTTTTGCAATGTTTTAATTTACTAAGTCCGTTGCACCTTTTGATGTTCCCGACTGTCTCCACGCCGAGCATGTAGAATGTCGTAATAACACCCGCTTTAAGTATACCCACGACCGATCGAAACAATTAAAGATAATTTACTCGTCCCTGTAATGAATTTAATGGCGTCCTACATGTTGACCGATTGTTAACTGCCGCTTCCCGTCATAATTAACACTAACAGAATGACTACCGCAATATACAATAATTAGGTGTCAAAAAAATTAATATTATAAACCCTATCTTGGGTTGTCGAGGTAGGTCTTAATATTTCGTAAGCATGCATAATGACTTCATTGGGTTTACCGCCGGACGGAGAGCGGTGGGAACTATTAATTAAATTGACCATAGTACGTTTCATCTCGGACGCCCAATATGGCGACTGAAGAGTCAAGCGTACGCTAAAAACTGAATTCCAAGACTCGCTCCACGTACAGTCTGCAAAAGAAAAACCCACGAATATCTTTCTACCTATTTGGATGTGCTATTCATGTAGAAAAATGTTGAATAGCATTATACGTACGTGTCAACTTGTTAAATCAGGATTTTAATCTCATTTCTTAAGAGTTGTAGTAAGTAAAAACTAGATCACGTAGGTACTAAGTTGCACTTTAAGCTCCCTACGATGTGGTGAAAGATTATAAGGAATTTTACAAAGTAACAACTTTGTCGTTGCGTGTTTGTATTATATAAAGAGGTGAAGTTGTGTGGAGGTATTTGTCGCAAAAACTTCAGGAATTAATCTTTATAGGTTTCAAGCATTATTCTCGTTTGTGCTGAATAATGGAAACGAGTATAAATCATGATTCTAAAAGTCTATCTACAAAGTAAATTGTTTTTCTTCGATACATTATGTTGCTATCGTTGCTCAGGTCGGCCATGTTTGCGGTCCTCGACCTGGCCTGCCAAATCGTCGATAACAGATAATTATTTAGCCGATACGAAAAATTATTGGACATCGACGTATCGCGGCCCGAATTTTGAACATCTCAATTTTAGTGAAGCATACCGGTCGGACTTTTGTTTGATAATATAATAACTCGTTTTACAACATACTTTATTCAAAATTAGGTAATGTGCTCTTTAATGTGGATCTACAACGTGTAGGTATGTGTAGTTTTCTGAATACTGTAGTTTTTTTTCAACTAACTGGTATGTACGAGTAGTTTTTCTCATCCTTCGTGTAGCTCGGAGCAAAATAGGAGTTGTTTCGACAAGCTCAATAGCAGTGCACGTTTTCAATTAAGAGTAATGGCTACTTGAATGCAATGTTTCTCACTTAATTAAAACATACCTTGGTAAATTATTAAACTTCATAAATGGCAGATGTTTCGATAAAAACTGAATGTATTTGTCGATAATTCGCCCATTTCAGTACATGGGCATGCCTCCTCTTCCCTTAACGAAGTCATGTTTATTTTTTCTAAGCGTTTACTTAAGTATTATATGCAAGTTTTTAGTCTTTTGCGGGCCGTAAGTCATTTTAATCAGTCGATAACTCGTCAAGTCGTTTTTGTTGGATGTTAAATCAGCCGACTGCCCTTTTTGTGTCCCGCCCGCCATTAAAATATAGAGAACTGGTATTTATATTTTCAAGATACATACTTACTTGTTATTTTAAAATCCAACTAGAAGCTAGACAAAGAAATAACTTAATAGGTATAAAAGTATTTTAAAACGTTATAATATTTGCCTATATATTTTGAAACTACTCTTACACATAAATACAAACGTTGTTCTGTAAGAAGAATAGATATAGTAGTCAGCATTTATTATAATTTTTACCTAGTTCACACCTATCTTCGACTTTTAGTTAAATATTTAAAGCTCATTTTAAAATACCTTTACTATATGGAAAAGCCCAGAATGACTGAAACAACACACGTTAATTATTGAATACCTTCTTATGAGTAATTACAATTCATGGACAGGTTTATATAAAAAAGTAATTGTAATTTATTCATTGAAGGTACTTTATTAAAATATTGCAATTTTTATGGACTTATTCGTCAGGCAAAGGTTGTTGGGTGGCTTCTTATATAAATACCATACATTCTGGTACCTGCCTACTTTTACAAGGTACAAAAACTTATTATATATACACCTATATATTCAAGTATATAATATGAAAACAGATGGTATAGTCTACCTACAATATTCTTTGTTCTACCTTTATGTAATAAATAGAAATAGTTGTACAAATATGGCTCTTATAGCATCATTGTTAAGGTATTGTCTTGTTAATATTACTTATTTTGTAGTAAAATTTTAGAGATTTGTTTTTTAAATTACTTATATATGTGAGGTTTATTGGTTGCAAATACTGAAATGTTGTATACGATTTTGTGATGTACTTAATATATAGGTAGGGTAAGTAAATAATTGTAATACTATTTTTATTTCAATAAATTAATTTAAAATTTTACACTCTGCTTACTGTTTTTATTCTTGTTACACTATCCTGCATCTCTATTAGTTATTTGCTTGGCTTGGCAAATTGAAAAGAGTAGTTTTTAGAGATCCACCGTCTTCAGGCACAAATATACATTCTGGTGTTGCGGATGCCCACGAGTGGCGCTGATGGCTTACTATCAAGATGCTAGTATACTCTGGACATCTACTTATCTTATAAAAAAACCAATAAGTTGAGACTCCAAGGTACTGGAAGAAATTTAAGAAAAAATGTATACAAAGCCTTTTTTATAATATGTATCAGAGACATTGTAGAACATACTTTTTTAAAAGAGTAACGAATGGAGTTTCTTGCTCGTTCTTCTCCATTCGAATCTACGTTTTGGAATGAGCACCTAGCTTCACCTAGCTTCACTGACGGACTGACTGACATACTATTATTTATTTTGTATTTGTTGACGTTTCAAAAGTACCAAACTATGGTTTAATTGAAATAAATGCTTTGACTTTGACTTTGACTTTTATAGACGCAGTTTTGATAACTTAAATAGCGAAATTATTCTTTTTTTCGATCTGTTTATAAAGAATGGTACTTAATTATAGAGTAACTAAGGTGTCTTTGTTTATTTGGTTTCCTTAAATGTCGCGTCAAACACACAGATATACGAACAAACTTATATGTAAGTATATTAGGTGCCTAGAAGTGAGGGCTGTCGATTGAAGAAAGAATAATTTCAACAGCTATTTTTAAGGTTGGAGTACAATGTTGGTGTTATAGGTTCTCTCAAGTATACTTAAATCTAAAACAGGGATTCCTAATTGAGGAAAATAATACAAGAAATAAACAAACAAATACAACAATAATGGCTAATGGAAATATAAGTTAAATTTCTGTCTAGAAAATAAAAATTGATTAATGAATAATCCCATGCTTCTTAATGACATGCTTTGACAGTTCCTGTAATAATAAAACTGTAGAAGAAATTCCGCCTTAAGCAGTCGTTTAAAATTATCTAACGAAATACAACTATCGAAAGCCTGACACGATTCCAAAAATCAACACAATCTTTTCTCTCCAAATTCTCTTAGTAACAAAACTAACTTGTGGAAGCCACGTTCAACCCTATCCTAGGGAAGGTTCGTGATTCGATAGTATCGTTCACCCGACCTGGCCTGTCCTCTACACGACTCCTTTAACTGTGCGACTAACCTCACTGTTTCGTTCCCGGGAACATACCTGTATCTACCCAATATAGACTTAGTGAAGAAGTTGAATTAGATTTGCATGGTTGGTATTGGTTAGTTGGGGTTTGTATTGTGTAAAGTCTAAAGATTACTTGATGAATGTGGTAAGAAAATTGATCATCTTTATGTATAAACATCAAACTGAAAAACCAGTGTTGTAGGTATGTACCTTTTTTGTCGAATTTAGCTAGGATGCTAACAACATAGTACATTGTGAGAATGTCTATAGAACACTCTCTGCAACTTAAACCCTTAATTAAGCTAACTAAACACCATGCTAGTATTTCGAGGATCCTCCATTCCATGTCTCAGCCCTAAGCCATCTAAGACACGCCGCCGTACGCTTAGACAATAACATGTATGTCCACATGTATCTGCGATAATCTCCGCTACATACAATAAACCCCACCCGTTAATCGAGTTAACCCCTATAAAATAACGAGACCAATTCAAAATTTACGACATATACGAAATGTTCGCTTACCACAACAGTTATTAATCGCTGCGGATATAGCTATAAAGTTAGGAACACACTAGACGCAATAAACATGCCGCTATCTGTACCCAGTGCCTATTTAATAGACACTTTACAATAATTGGTGCAATCGATAGTTACAAGTGTTCTATACATTATGATTGGTGACTTCACGTTTTTATGACATTTTTGATTAGTGTAGTGTTGAGTGTTTTTAAAAACAATCGAATCAATTTATCGACAAACGAATACTAATGCGGTCTATTGCGTGTCGGTTAAATGCTATCCAATTAACCTATCGGTTACAAAATGTAAACACGCTCAGTGAGTCATTGCTCCCACTCATTTTCGCACTTGCCAATCACAGTTTTGTTAACAAACAATAGAACGGCCGGCCCATTGCAGGAGGGGCGGGTGCGCATTACCAAGTTACAACTAACGACATACAATTATTCACTTTACAATCACTCGGGGAGAGTTGTAAAACTGACCAATAAAAGTTCATTATCTATTGGTTTGTTCGCGCTTCCAACTTTTATTTTATTGGTTTACGACGGCAGCCCGACTCGTCATAAAACTAGTTGTAACCAGCGCTGATTGTATGCTACTACGGCCAAATTATTTGTACGTAATTTAGTTTGATGACTGAATTACGTGTCGTTATGGTATTTTTATTGGATCGTTTATTGGTAGCTATTCG